GGTGAAACTATTTTGACATTTGAGGAGCTCGCCACTGTTTTCTGTAAAATTGAGGCGATACTCAACTCTCGGCCCCTCTGTCCCCTCTCGTCCGATCCGAATGATTTGTAGGTTCTAACCCCAGGACACTTCCTGATTGGCCAGCCGCTTAACGCTCTGCCCGAGTACCCCTTCAGGGAAACGAACTCTTTGCGGTTGAGCAGGTTTGACCTGCTGCAACAGATGACTCAGAGCTTTTGGCACCGATGGTCTCTGGAGTACCTACATCAAGTGGTCTGACAAGACGGATCCTCCTCGGGTGGGACCTTGTGTTGTTTAAAGAACCCAACACCCTGTCTTTGTATTGGCGCCGTGGGCGCATTGTTAAGTTGTCGTATGGATCCGGATGGGGTGCCTAGGGTGGCCGAGGTTTTGGTCGGAGATTCGGTCTTGCAACGTGCCGTCGCGACTTTGTCTCGTTTGCCAATCTACTCGCGGACATAATTCCTTACGTCCGGGGCAGGGGTTTGTTTAGGCCAATATTAAATATTTTGAGAATTGTGTTATAATCACTCGCTAATAACTTCGCACAGTATCGAGGTCACATCCCCCCCGCGCCGACATTCCTTTCGGGCCGGTCGACTGGACACATCTCTCTGCGTTGAGTGTAAAATTTTTGCGATCGGAACGGACGTTTTTGTTTCTTACTTAATTTTTGTCACGTCACGAACGGAGTCGAGCTAGTACCTCTGTCGTCGGCGGAACCACGTGTTGTTCTTTACGGATTTATTAACTTCGTTTAAAGTAATTGTGCAAATTATATAGTGATTTCGTTTGAAGTTCTTTTTTTGACTGTACCATTACGTGAATAGACTGAACTAGTGCTTTCAAGAAGGGAATTGTTCCGGGGGCTCAACAGGAGAATACCTCCTCCAGGACAGCATCGTGTCATCTAGCCCAGGCCACCTACACCCAGACACACACAAATACCACCTACACTCACTACACTTTCATCAGCCGGGCAGATCCTGGTGAACAGTCTCCGCTCCCGAAGCGGGTAAGTACCTTCCCGTTAATTAGCCTTCCCCTTTATTGTGATAGGATATTTCCACGTGGCCACTTTGGAGGCCCGACGTGCGTCTTCCCGTAGAATTCCTGCTTGGGCCCCGGGATAGCCTACTTTTGCAGAGGCAGCCAGCAAAAAAGTTTAAGCCCTTTTTTAAATTTCAGAGATAACGCGCGCTTACACTATGACGTCACACCCCCGTAGACCGCGACACAAACGCGGTGATTGGTCCGGTGCGGTTTGACCAAATTACGCGGGTCTCGTTTCATTTTCTTTCGATCATCTTTGTATTCCTAATACTTATAATGTTTGTGCTTGTATTTCAAAGAAATAGTATTATCCTCTAAATCCGATTACACTAAAGTGAAACGTGTAGTGCTAGAATGGAAGAAGGTTTTGTAAAAGGACAGTCGAATTTTGTTTCTTAATTTTGTTTTGTTTTTAAACCATAGATGTCAAATAAAAATATTTATTATCGGTCTCATTACTTTTATGATAAACTTTGATCCTATTTACTTGAATTTTTTGTGTTTCGTTCTTAAAATATGTTCTGTGGTACTACTTACATTATCATCTCTTGTCACATCTTTTAAAGGGTCATTCACCATATCTTGAACTAGAGGAATGGAATCCACAATATACACTTCTTCAGCATCATGTGAAGTAGACGAACTTGAGGAAGTTGTCAGTTTTGCAATTTTAAGTTTTTTTTACAACAGTGCGCTCAGGTTTTTCAACTAATTGTTTTTGACAAGCAAACCTATATGGCACAACCCCTTTCTTGAGTTTATGTTTGCCTCCGACTAGTTTATACTTAACGTAGCTTTCCATATCATTTTCTACCTAAAACAAAAATATTACATTTCAGAAACAAATTCAAAACCTAAATAAAAACCGTGTTTAATATATGTACGTTGCTATCGTTAAAAAAGTACAAGGAAAACTAAGGATAAAAGCGGGCCGCGAGTTTGATACTTCTGATATCGGCCCGCGAGTTTGATTTTGTAGTATGAAGAAAATATATATTTATGTATATTTTGTATATTTTCCATATGTGTATTTTGCGGCCCGCCAATACAGTCGGTTGAGGAGCACTGCACTGCGCTGCAACTAGGTGTTAGGTGCTAGGTGCTAGGCAACTTTGGCAAGATACCTATTTATTTAAACAATCAAAGTAGATAAGTAGGTATGTTTAGTAGGGCAAGGGTAGGTAGAGAAGAAGGATAAGCTTATTACTTACAAAAATACTTACATCGAAATGGTCTTCACAGCAGTGCGCTTTAGTTTTAGGACCATTGAATCGACTCTTTTTACGGCTGTCATCCACTTTTTCCTCATTTTTGGGTCCTCAGGCATATAAAAAAAGTTTATCAGGTGTTTTAACTATTGAATTGAAGCACTGAGGCACAATACAGTATTTTTTATAATTTTTATCACAGATAACTTTAAAATTCTGATTTTTACTGCACAGCGGCGTGCAGACAAGAGCACGATTGTTGTATGAGCGGGGGTGTGACGTCATCGGCTAGTGAGCGCCCGCCCGCGTTTTTAAAAATGTTCGCTCGGAAACACGCACTTTGATCGTTAATATCTCAGCCAATTTTTAAGTTATGAAAAAAGTAAAAACACAGTTCTTCTCGTATTATTTTGTAGATTTACTTGGCATGTAAAGTAGAAAACGTTTGTCAGACCCATTGTATTTCAAAAGGAACTAATAAGCAAGTGGCGCAAGAATATTTCTATTTGTTTTTAATATGAACATAAAAAATTGAATTTTCTAATCATGCTGGAATTTATGTTTAAACATTTATTATTGATAGTTATTCTTTGACGCGAATTTTAAATTTTAGTATTTTATGAGTAGACATGTTTATTAAATAAACAGTCATCTTTTCTATTGGATTATATCTAAAAATTCTTAATATTTTATTTTTCATTATATATTTATTTCCTATCGTAAACTATCCATTTATACATATAGGTATTACCTGTACAAAATAATTTCGATGTTTCACATCTGCCAGGCGTCCCACGACGGCTCACAAATGTTTTTTTTTTATTGAGTTCAAAGAGCTATTAATTAAATCTATTCAAGCATCGAAATATCCATATTCAAGCACCGATGGATAAAACTGTTACAAGTTTAATTTTTATGTAATAGAGTAAAGAGGAGGTACAAAAATATTGAGTTTTCTTACGCTTTACTCGACTTTACTTCTGTTTATCTCTTTTTATTTTTCAGCCTCTATCTTTCAAAGAATTTCCACTACCCCATATCATCCCGCGGGTGTCGTAAGAGGCGACGGAGGGAAATTGATGCAGGAGATGGGCAGCAGCTTCTTCCTGATAACAATTCTAAATAATAAAATACCAACCCGCCTGACAAGCGTGACAACTAATCCAAAATCTCCCTTCTGACTTCTGAGGTAATCTGTGGGGGAGGCATATGATCAGTAGTGGAATTTTATAGGCTGTAATGGATGGAAGTCAGATGTTACACTTGCCAAATAACAGATATGTAGTTTGGTTTACAGACGCTTATCCCTGAACACCAATTGGGATTAATGCTTGGTTTAATTAAAAAAATTTCATTATCCAATATGACTCGAATAGTGTAAATAGTGCATGAAGACCATCTTATGGAATAAAAAACCAGTTAGACAACTTAGATGGCTTAAAGCTGTTTTAAGTCACTATAAATTGCCGAATGAATGTATAATAGTTTCTTATACCAATTATTAATAGAATCTTAAAAATTAAAAATAACTTAAAAATTACGCTTATCGATGAAGTAAAACAAAATGAGAAAGTACAAAATAAACATCCATATATTTCGAAGATATGTGTGGATGTGTTGGATGGCACTAAGATTTTTTTTGTATCATGGAGCGTTTTACTTACATAAAATGCAAATAACCAGACCCAGAATAATTATTTGTAGGTCATACCAAATCATAATACTCTTTCCGTGCGGGAAACGAACCCATGGAGAGTAACGGCGCAGCGAAATTCTATTAGCCGTTTACTAATTTGTGGTTTTACAGTCAGCATATAGCTCACGCAAGTGGTTGTAAAGTAAAATGTTTATTAGAGTAAAATGGCTAGGAGCTCCTTTACCCTACCTCTTTCAGAAGCTTACTAAAGCGACTAAGATTTTAAAAATGGAATTAAATATGCTTGCATCTTAATTCCATAAATCTTTACCGATAACACATTTTAAGTTAGCCAACTGGCTAACAACACTGACATCACAGAATAATAACTTTCCTAATAATTTTAAGAAATACTCTGCGAGACGACGTGTATTCATCGCGTATACGTCGAAAAATTGTAAAAGTATTGTTTTTTTTTTCTCCGCGCTCACGCAGGTTATTTGCGACATCTGAGTGATAGTAAAAGTTCCCATTCGACGATTGACTTGATAACTTCGGATTTCGCGATACCTTCGGATGATTCAAGCCATGGTAGGAAGGAAGAAGGTGCTACTTATGGCCTAAGGCTTAAGCTGAAAAATTAAATCATTGAGGTGAGCCAAAATGAAAAAGCTTGTAAAAATGACTAATGTTTTACCAGCATTTCTGACTGGATTCTGGTCCTTTTGTAAAAGTGATCGTAAAGTGTTTTGACAAGAGTTTGACCTCGACAAATGTATGCAGCGAGACGTACGCAACTTCATAGGTCGCATTGAAGAAGCGCCATAAACAAAATATCACACATAAACGAAGTGTAGCGTCCCCCTTTAGGTGGAGTGAAGACTTGTTAAAAGATGCGAGATGGATGTAGTTGCTTGCTTTATAATAACATTGGGCTTGTTTATTTATTAAATAATAATAAATAAATGCATTAAAATAAAACCCCTAAAATCCCATGATCTATATTGATCATTTATTTTAAAAAAAAGAAAATTATATTAATAAATTACACTTGTGACATGTTAGTAATTTTTCCAAACTTTTTATTTCAGATTTTCGGCCAATTTGTCCATAAATTCGAAAGTTTCATAGTAATCTTCTCTCTTCACATTATTCATGCCGTTGATACAAATCGCAAGATCCTTGGTCATTATTCCAGATTCAATTGTATTAATGCATACACTTTCTAATGTTTCAGCAAATTTCTTAAGTTCAGTATTATTATCAAGTTTGGCACGGTGTAAAAGACCTCGGGTCCATGCAAATATAGAAGCGATGGGATTAGCCGATGTTTCCTTGCCTTGCTGGTAGAAACAGTAATGTCTAGTAACATTTCCATGGGCTGCCTCAGCCTCAACAGTTTTACCATCAGGGCATATCAAAACTGATGTCATAAGACCTAAAGATCCATAGCCTTGAGCTACAGAGTCTGACTGAACATCTCCATCATAATTCTTACAAGCCCAAACAAATCCACCTTCAGATTTCATCGCATAAGCAACCATGTCATCAATAAATCTATGTTCATACCATATTCCAGCAGCCTCAAACTGTGGTCTGTAGTCTTTCTCATAAATTTCTTGGATGATATCTTTAAAACGACCATCATACTTTTCCAGAATAGTGTTTTTGGTACTGAGATACAGTGGGTATTTTCTGTCCAAAGTAAACTTAAATGAAGAATGCGCAAAATCAACAATGGAGGCATCAGTATTAAACATACCAAGAGCGACACCAGGACCTTTAAATTCTTATATTTACGCTAACACTGCACGGCAAATGAAACCAATTTTACAAAATTTATCGCGTTTAGTTTTAACTTTTTAATTCCCGACGTTCCCGAGCTTTACTGCACCCATGGTCACGTGGGGGACTGAGGTGTTCGACGTCCCGATGCCATAGTGAGTCCAGCTACCTTCAGTTCTTGAATATTAACTTTTGGTCCGATCTATGCAAAACTAGCTTACAGTTACTTGGAATCTTGCAGTGGTATGCTTAGGTTTGGATTTAATTTTATAAATTATAGGAACTCAAGCAGATGGTAGCACTCATCCATCTTTTCTATTAAGTATCGGTTGGTATTTAAATGATGAATCTCACCACCATCCATCATAGGTAGCTACCGTGGGAAAATCTTTGTTTCAGAGAGCACAAGGAATCTATAACAGAATTCCTCTGGCCGCTTGTGCATATCAAGCAAGTATTGTAAGAGAACAAGATTCGTGCCCTGCGACTACGTCGTAGTGACCGAGTAAAGCCGGCAACGGTCGAGTACCCACCTGCTGTGCAATCATATTATGTCAGAGGAGTCACAGACAAGATCACATCAGATAAAATAAGACATCTTGAAGCGAGCTCTCAATAAAACCTGCTACAAGCCGCCGAAGTAGATTGATAATTTTTTACAATCCGTCCACTGTTATATTCGTCAATTGTATTTGATTGTATTTATAAATTTGAATTCTAAACTGTCAGTCTAAATGTTCTATACTGATACAAATAAAATTATTTTTTCCTTACATCATTGTTATATTTAAAAAAAAAATTAATGCAATGACTCATTGAACTTAAAACCGTAATTATGATGTGACGCCCATTTAAGCACGACCGATGAATCAATCACAAATTTGTGTGAAGTTCAGAATAACATGACCGCGATTAGAATTTTTTGAGTGTAGAAGTTAAGTTATAATACATAAGAAATAAATTGGCATATCGAACTATAATAATATAGTATGCTTAATTGTCTTTATTGAGCACGTATTTAAATTATCTAAGCGTGTCTATTGAGCAGTCGATTCGAAATTTGAATTCTGGCCGGAGCTAACAGTTTTGTAAAAACACAATAGTGTTGTTCTTCTGGTCAGCGTAAGTTGTGATTGTATACATGCTTGCACGATGCAGCTTTGAAGATAGGGTCTTATTAGTGCCGGTCCGTGCGAAGTTGTTTCGTAGGTCCATTGTGATTCACAAAGGCCGTAGTATCCACTAAGTAGTCTGTGACAAAGGTAAAGCCACCCGTGACGTCAGCATCGGTGTCGGCACAGCCGTCGTAACTTGAATGGGGTATCAATAAACAGCTGGTCAAGTGAACAAGCGGCAAGCGCCCGCGCAAGCCAAAGCCAGTCAGCCAGTCACATTTGGAGCGCAGCGCGCGCGACGCGCCTTGTCATACCACTTTGCAGTGACCGGTGTTATTAACGCGATAAACGTTAAAACCATGCAGTTGTAAATGTTTTGTAAAATAAATGTATGTTATAATTTTAATACTCACACGGATTACCAGGTTTTTAATACATAACGACATTTTTATCTTTTTTTTCTGTGTGTTCTTTATCATAAACGTGCAATACAAAATGTTTGATAGCAGGTTGTTTTTATGTAATTACAGCAACAGCATGTTAGGGCAGTTGCATAAAAAGATTTTTATATGTAAACATAGCTACTAAGTAAATGTTATTATTTTAGCTGTAAAAAGCTTTGAACTAAGTTACTAATGTTACTAAAAATATTATTATCAAATATTGTTATTTTCATTCTTAAAAAATTAAATAAAAAGAGAGAAATTTCTTTACAACTTTACATCCTTACACGATCTCACCCAGTAATTTAAATAACTCATCTATGTAGTATAAAAAGAACATTGCGTAACAATCGGTTCACAATAAATTCCTAAGCTTTTTATCTTTTGTGTTTTCAAGTCCGAGCGGGCACGTCGGCGGCAATTCTTTTTCAAACTCCTGATCGTATCGTAACAACCAACATCACAGCAAAAAAAATTCCATGCGTATTTAAGAGTGTTTTGTAAGAAGTGGCAAGTGGAGACAACAGATGTGACTTTGTTTAATTGGTGTATGTGGGAACGAGCTTATGGGGCAATGTGTGTCCCGGGATGAGCCGGGCGCTTACGCCTTTTCTCGGCATTATGATGCGGAGAGCTTAGCTAGCAGCGTCAGCGGGTGTGCCAGAAGAGTAAGTATCTAAATTTTAAATTTAAATCCGAAAAACAGTTTATAGTTTTGTTTATGTTACCAAAGGTTCGAAAAAAATCTCGTGTCATAAAAAAATCGACATGACACCTAGCAGGACTTTTTTATAGTTACACTTTACAATGGGAATAAACGATGAGGTTAAATTGCACATCAAATATAAAAGTTATTTTAGAAACAAGTTGGCAGCAATCACCTGAATTAAAGGGATTATAATTTGCAATGTTTTCATTATTATTATAACTGTTTGTATAAAGCTTATTTATAAAAACTTGATGATTGACCGACTTCATTTTTTGGCATTTTTGATGAAAAGCCTGTATATACATTTCCCCACGAATTTATTACTGACTCTGTGAAGTTGACTAACTTATGTATCATCAGTTTTGCGGTTTAGACGTACATACTATTATTGTTACTCCGGTTACCTTTGCATCTATCTTTACTTTCGACTCGTATAGCTCCACATGAGACAGTAGGAGGTGATTAGAACTTTCCGACATCTTCTAATCATATAAATATTAACGCAAGCATAGAACCTCATTAAATGTATAAATCCGATGCAATGGTTTAGCGGTGAGATCGGAAAACGTTTTGTAAGCTGCTCATATGTCAGATACACGGGGCTACATATACCCTGAAGAAAAGTCGTCCTTTTCGTATAAAATTTGCTTTAGTTGTGACACAAAAATATAATCAAAAACTCTGTTGGCAATTTTATTCTTCATTTTATTGATATATCTAATATATGCATTTACAAAAGAATTAAGAGAAAGTTGGATTTAAAACGCATAAATAAAAAAATCTGTCGATGTTATACAAATACGGAACTGTCGTTCATAGCAAGTTTACAGTGTAGAAAGAAATAGAGCAAATATCTAGTAATAATCTGTTCGTCGGCCATTTCAAGAAAAAGGGGGTTCAACGGATGAGGTTAGTTGTAGTTTCGAGTTCGAGTAGACAATATCCTGTTTTAAAAGCGTAGTGTCGATTGATGATTAATTATATATTTTAATTACATGCAATATTTATAACACGTATTGTTATTGAGTATCATATTAATATTATTTTTCGTTCTCATCATGCTTTGTATTATTTTGGAAAATTTATTATTTTGTGTTGTTTATAATTTTAAAATATTTTGTATTTTGATAAAATTAAACGCAGTGCATTTTGAAACATATTTGAACAATAAAATTTTATAAATATTAATAACATTTATAAATGAAAATTAGAATGACTGGATTGCATTAGCTTTGCATAAACGATTTAGTTCGATATTAAATATTTTATCAAATGCCAAGGTAAACAGTTCGACAATATGCTACACTTTCAGTCTACCGTTAATGACATTTGATTAAAGATGTAAACAAATCAACTTATTACTGTTACTATATCATAGAGAGCACAAAAACGACTGCTATAAATATATAAAAATATGCGTGAGTGTCGTGGAACACTTGGTTGTAACGAAGTTTCTTTCGCAGTATTTTTTTTAAAATACTGGTAATGCTATTAAACTTTACTAATATTCCCTTAAACCACTTCTGGTAAGCTAAAAATGCTTGTGCCCTTACGGCCCCTTTCTGTTTCTTGTATATATTAATGACTTACCTTACATAGTAGGGGATAACCATAATATAGTATTATTTGCTGATGACACTTCATTAATCTTCAAATTAAAACGACAATTATTAAAATATGACGAAGTAAATAATGCTATATCTAAATTAGTAAATTGGTTTACTGTTAATAACTTGCATTTAAACGGTACTAAAACGAAATGTATGAAATTAACGACACCAAATGTCAAACAATTTAATACTAATGTAATTTTAAATGGGGAGGAACTGAATCTTGTCGATACCACCATTTTTCTTGGAATAACACTAGACGCGAAGCTTCAATGGAGCCTCCATATATCATCAAGATTAGCAAGCAGACTTAGTTCTGCAGCATATGCTGTAAAAAGATTAGAAGTCTAACCAGTGTGGAAATAGCTAGACTTGTTTACTTTAACTATTTCCATAGTATAATATCGTATGGTATTTTGCTATGGGGACACGCGACTGACACTGAAATTATATTTGTTTTACAGAAGAGGGCCATAAGAGCAATTTATGATATAAAACCTAACTTTGGCCTCTCAATACATTTATGAAAATGTAGTGTACGTACACAAAAATAAAAAGAAGTGATATTCATTCTGTAAATACTAGGAACAGACACAAGCTAGTAGTACCAGTTACTTGAGTTACGGCATATTTTCGTTAATTGTTAATCGATTTTGATAAATATTTTATATTAAATAGGTAATCACGGGTAATTCCATATAAATTTAGAGATAAAATTCCAACCTAAAAGGTGATAAAATAGGTGATGAAATTTTAATGTAACTATGTAGACGACATTGAGATGTTTTTCCTTATTCCTTAGTCTACTCAAACGCAAAAAGAAATAAGAAAAAAAAAAGAATAGAATAATTTCATATTCTGCCTTTATTTCTTCTCTACACTATATCTCTTAGCACCAACTTAAGAATGTGAAATTATTTTGTTCTTTGACGTTAATCATCATGATTACAGCCCATTACAAGTCCACTGCTGAACATAGGCCTCCCCCAAAGAATACTACAAAGCACGGTCCTGAGCCACCTGCATCCATTGACTTCCTGCATGTCTTACCAGATCGTCATTCCCTCTAGTGGGGGGTCGGCCTACACTTCGCCTAACTGTACGTGGCTGCCACTCGAGAACATTTTTTCTGCATTGGTTGTCGATTCTTAAAGCCATATAGCCGGTTCATTGCCACTTCAGCTTACTAATCCGTTGGGGTGTCGGTCACACTGGTTGTAACTGCGGGTATCCTCATTTCTAAGTTTATCACGCTGAGAAACCCCGAGCATAGTCCTCTCCATAGCTCCCTAAGCGACCTAGAGCTTCCTCATATGGCCAGCAGTGAAGGACCACGTCTCAGTTCCACAAGTCCTCACTGGCAACACGCACTGTTTGTAAAGTTCTTTGAAGTTGTGTTTTACTTTTTATTCAAAGTTTTTTCTGTATTTACTTTTAAAATTTACATACATTAAAAAAGTGCCATAAGTAATTAAGTATAAAGGTTTTATGCAAATATAATAATATAATGTTAACAAGTTCTGTGTTTAACCTAATTGTATTATATTAAATACAATAACGAAGGCCAGAATAAGAATGTCTTTGATTTATCTACAGCAACATTACCATTTATCATCAGTTGTAAAGGCTTATTAAATAGCTAAAAATTTATACTGTATCTTAGATCAGTTTATCAGTTTTTGCTGTTAAAGGGAGTGGAGTATGTGCTAGTTTCCTATAAAGTAAGCTTTCCTCAAAAATAATTTAGTAACAGTAATTTAATTAGTCCATAATAATCAATAGACTATTACTTTGAATTTAACGCCAAAAACGGTCTGATGGTCTGATTTTTGAGACTTAAAACGTGACTCGTGATGAATAGAGGCTGTACAGCTCTATTACAGCTTCAGAGTGATTATTATCCCTGATAAGACTGTCCGTTAACGGCAGGGCTACAGATAAAATAAACCATTGTATCTAACAACTCGTAGACTTGGATACTAAAGTATGATGTGAACTGATTATCCTCTCGTCAAGAATAAAACCAATTTGGATATTTGGAAATAATGTTTTGTGATTGTTCTTATGGGATAGAATTATTTTACTCTTCAAACAGATGTGTGAAGATATAAAGTATTTAATATAAGAAATACAGAAATATATTGTATCTTACATCTATCCTCGATTAGGAATTAAATGCGTTGCCACCCCTGAGGACAAAGATGGAATTCGAGCTGACCCATTCGCGCTACACCTATAATATCGCTGCAGCATGGCTCTACCATGAATATATTTTCTCTTTTTCATTTGGTTCAGTTTACGACATTGGACTTACTCACAAATCAACGTTTCTCTTTCTCTTTCTAGCTCTCTCCAAAGAGATCTTCCTTCTCCTCCTACTATCTCATTTATCTCCTCCTCTTCCTATAGTCATTTAGAAAACTAATTAATTATTAATTAATAGTCATTTAGTAAACTAAATTACTATAGGAAGAGACAAGTATATAGATAATTATTAACTTATTTAAGGAGGTTATAAGTAATGCCACACCTATGGTATAGTACATAGTGCAAATACATGTTTACAGCCGTTAATAAATTTGGATGATTTTTTTCTATTCCCTCACTTTCATAGTCCGACGAGACGGTAATCGGAGCGCGCAACTTCCTGACTCCGGACCACTACTGAGAATGTCTTTATTTTCGAATACAGAAAAAAAATCAGCACATACGATCAGTAGAACAATGACATAGTAAAAAACCGTCGAAAAGATGGTGAGAGCCCAAACGCGTCTTTCATCATCTTTTTAGTGGCTATGCGCCGGTCGTTGTATTTTAGCATGCAGGCAACCTGAGTTCGATCGCCGTCGGCAGAAATAAATTTGTTAATTGCAATTTAAAGTGGTGATTTACCACGTGCTCGGCGGTAAAGAAAACAAATTTCACTAATCTTGCATTTCTGACAAATAAAGTTATTTGTAGACAGGTGAATTCCGAAATACACTGGCTGCTCCAGTGGCAGCGGCGGACTCACTCCATAACCCTGATATTGCATAAACCTCTGGTGGTAGACACTGAAGTCAATAAGATAGTTTTTATGAATCGTTAAAACAATCTTTATAGAAATAGCCAGTAAATGACGTCATGGGCTCTTCATTATCATCATCATCATCATTACAGCCCTTCACAAGTCCACTGCTGAACATTGGCCTCCCACAAGGAATGCCACAAAGCACGATCCTGAGCTACCTGCATCCATCGACTTCCTGCGTGTCTTACCAGGTCGTCACTCCATCTAGTGGGGGACGCCCTACACATCGTCCGCCGGTACGAAGCCACCACTGGAGAACCGTTTTTCCTCATCGGTTGT